CCTCCTATTTATGGAAACAATTTAGTTTCTGTTCTTCCCTTTTACCATTTCCATTCTCTTTGCTGAGGATTAATGAATGTTTTTATTTTTCAATTTCTTTACTATTTTTTTGGTTGTTTTAGGAGGAAAACCAATACACACATTTGATCATTTCTCTATGTATATGTGTAAGCTCAGGTAGAGGATTAAAATTAGCAAAATAAAAGCCATACTAGAGAAACTCAAAAGAAAGTTGACCTACAATCACTGCAGATTTGGGAGGATGTGGAAACCTACTAATCATGCCTCAAATAAACCTGTCCTTTCACTGCCCCAGTTTTGCAGAAAATGAATCTTTATACCTTCACTGAACAGGAAAACACTGTCCCTTCTCCAGCAACCAGCTCACTTTCAAGCATCCGTAGCCAGTGCTGCTGGCAGGAACTCACAGCCACAGAAAGCAGATGGCTTTCAAGCACTGATTAATCACTGTTCTCCCTTCACTGAGGTTTCCAGCTGTGGTTCACTTTCTCTTTCCTGGCACAGAGTCATTTCTGCTGGCTTCTTTTCTTCCTGGCAAAATGTAAGAAGCATTCCTGCCTTTTACTAAGTCTCTCTTTTCACCAGCTTCACATTGCTCATGCTCAGCATTGCTTTTTTTGGCTTCTCTAGAGCCACCCTTAGGCTGGAGTCCTCATCTATTATGGCAGGAAGAAAATTTACCTTCATCTAGCTGGTAGGCATCGGCTTGCGTGGCATGGCTGGTGGGAAGCAGTAAGTCAAACTACAATAACCTCCATGAGTCAGAGAAGTCTTGCTTCATGTCTTCTAGAATTGGACCCATGAGAAAAGTCACCTTTGGGTTATTTTATTTTATTTTTTTTAGTTCCCTGTTAGCCTTATTTCGAAGTCCCACAGCAAAAATCAGAATGGCGTCATCAGTCAGAAGGCATCAGAATCCAGCAAATGGTTTGAGTGAATTTGTGTTGAAATAGTATACCTTGTCACATGATTTGGGGATTGTAGCAACCTCTCCTAACCATCTCTTTTCAGTGGTTCTGAATCAGAGATGCATGTTAGGATTGCCTTGGGACTTTGTCATAAGACCTATGTCCTGACCTCACCTGAAGGCATTGCACAACTAAGGCATTTATATTTAAGGATAGCTTTCCAGGTGATTTGGGTTAAGAAGCATATGAAAGAGGTAGCATAGTTTAATTATTAAAAATAAAATCTCTGCATATCTTGGATGCATATTCTGGACCCAGTTAAGTTGTTTTTCTCATTAGCAGGAACATAATATAATCTATTATCCACATGAGGATGCATTGGAAGGCCCATTAGGACAAGAAGCATACACTGGAACTGTCCACACAAACTGTTCACCCTACTCGTTAGTCAGGTGAAAGATTGGAGCACACATCTCTGACATCGCTTTCAATTTATGATTCTGTAATTCATGACCACTGGATGAGCACACAAAATGTTTTTGTTCCAAGTGCATGCAAGACAGAGTTGTTTTGGCTTCATCTACACACAGGGAAGCTGCAGTGGCCAACATACAGCTTAGAGCTGAGAACTGAGGAACAAAGACTGAACGGTGAGGCAGGCAAAGCAAATGGAGTGAGTGATGTTCCTACTGCAAAGGCATCAAAGGGCCTGGGTTAGTAGGAGATCCACAGTCAGGATTCCTCTGGGACAGCTGCTAGGGCCATCAGAGTCCCGAGGAGAGAGATGGATGTTACTTGAGGTCTGGTGACATTATGCACATTTCTGGATCAGATTCCAATATGATACTGGAGACATTTACACACATCTCTCTATTACCTTCAATATGTTACATGAAGAATTTGTATAGCAATTTCCTTGGTGCCTCTCTGCCATATGACACAATCAGGGAAAAGAGTATTTATACTACTCAAATGTTCTGATTAATTATAATTTAGCACGTACATTATACTATGCACAATTTGCCCGTTTTCTAAAAATCAAAGTGTAAAGAAGAAACCCCCAACCCGGATCTTATCTTTCATGTTCTAGAAGGCACTTCAGGCCTGTGCTGTCATTGTAAATATTACACTGTGGTTATGAAAGGTCCGTTAAGAGAATCTGCAGAATCAGCAAGTTTTAATGAGCACTGAAGAGTTAAACTCAATGCAGTTTGTTTTTATGGCTTTTTTCCTCCTGTATTTCTCCTGTTTGTGTTTATCAAGTATGTATTGAATAAAGCCTATAGAGTGAGAGGTTGGGACACAGGGGGAGGAAATTAGTAGAGGATACTACCATCGTAAATTCAGGGAAATGGGCTGAACTTGCTTGTGCAATTTTAGGCACCAGAGGAATTGGAAGAGATGGAAACAGAGGCACATAAAGAGAGAAGACAGGGCCTCCCCGGTGGCGCAGCAGTTGAGCGCTGGGTTGCGAAGCTGCCTGCAGCCTCTGCAGTGCCGGTTCAATCCCCGGCTGCTCCCCAGCCACTGGAGGAGGGTCCCGCATGGCGCGCAGACCTCTCCTGCCGCCCGCTGCTCCCCTCAGCAGTGTACTTCCATCCTGCTTCCTGCTCTGGCTCTGGTGAATTCTCTCACCCTCCTGCGCTTCTGACTGTGCCCAGTGCTTGTATAAATAAATAAATAAATCTTTAAAAAAAAAAAAAAGAGAGAGAAGACAGAGAAAGATATGGGGATGCAAGACAGAGAGGAAGGGGGTGAGGAATAGGAAAAGACAGATAGACAGAGACTGACAGAGTGCATGGGAGAAACAGGAGGAGGGAGAGATTCAAATACATAAGCAGAGAAACATAGAAATAGGGGAGAGAGTCCAGAAAGAAAGAGGAAGAAGAGGCAGTATATGTGATTGAAGTCAGATGTACAGGTACACACACACACGCACACACACACACACACACACTTTAGTGTGTTTGGGGGTGGGGAGGGAGTAGGTAAATTCTAGGTTAGAATGGTTAGTCAAAACCCCAAAAAGTCTTGTACTGGAACATAAGAGATGGCATGGCTCACATAGTTGCTGAAGCTATTTTGATGAAATCAATCCAGTTCATTTCACGTAGATTTAGGCTCACGCTGCTTGGAAGGAAATTGCACACTGTGGCGATGCTCTAGGGCTGTAATCAGAGGCCTGGCATTGATGGAGAGCTTCTCACTGCCGCTCGAGGATGAAGCCAACAGATTGTGAACAGTTCTGTTTCCACAACTGTGGCCATGTCGTTCGTTTGTCGGAATCCGTGCCCTGCATGCATTTGGGATGTGAGCATGCTTAGTCCAGGATTAGAATTCTCCTGGCCGCAAAATGGATTTTGCTCCTTACTGATTTCTACCTGTGGCAGAAAACAGCAGCGAGGCAAGAGAAATTATTATCATCTGGCTAGGAGTCACATACTGAGAGCCTTGGAGAGAGGGTCTGACACTGAGAGAATGAGGGAAGAGAGGGCAGCCAAGAGATTATCATTTGGCTCATTGGGTGACATGGAGTGATGTGTCCCCAACAGTCAGCATGAGGCTGCTATCTCCAGGAAGAGCTCAGAAACAAACACTGATTTTCACCTGAAGAATGCTAATTCTCTCCTCTGCACTCGAAAGGCATCATGGGGCTGGAGAGGGCCTAGGGATGGGTCACTGAAATGAACAAAGGAATGAGGACTGGCAGATGGGGAATGTTGGACTCCTCAACTCAGAGCAACAGAGGCTACGCAGGGATGGGGCAGTCATCTAAGACAATGGAAGGGACAGGTAGAGACATGAATATCATCACACGATTTTTGGATATTATATCCTTCAAGATTAAGAAAGCCCATTTTAAGAAAAAAGAAAAAGTGTATTTTCATAGTGAACAGCAAATTTGGGAAACTTGCAGATGATTGTTAAACACCAGTAATTGTTACCCCCTGGACTCTCATTGGCTTTGGGCATGAATTCTCCTGATTAAATCCAAGTGGGTGGTTGATAATTTGTTTCTCTGTCAGTGTTGAGTCTATATTAATATCTACCCTAGGATATAGGGAATTTTCCCAACAAAATTTGGATACTGGTGAAAGGTGTGACATTGCCAAGTAGCAGGTGCAGAGCAAGAAAAAAGGAAGCATAGTATTCTGGAAGTGGGTTTAATAATGTCCCCGCAGAGCAGCCAGCAGAGACCAAGATAGAGCATCATGGGATCATAGCACAGGAAACGGTTCTCAGGGAATCCACAATTCACCTGGGAGGGTAGGGAAGATGCCCCTCCAGGGTATCAGAACTGTGATGGTTGGGCAGATTTGATATACTTAATGTCAGTGCCATGTTTCTGAAAATAGATCAAATGTATCCAAATTCTCTTGATTAGTAAAGTAATTCAGGGAATAGAGTAAAAAAGATATACCAGGGAGCACAGTATAGAAATGTTGGAAAAAGCACTGGTGTAGATGTGTTCCACATTCCCAGCACTTGTTATGCTCACAATAACACTCTATTTGACTTTGCCATGAGATTGAGATCCATGATAGCAAAGGCTCTGTATCATTCACCAACATCTATTTGGAATGTTCTCAGTGTCTGTTGGATGATTAGATGAGTGTCTACCTGGTTGTGGACAGTTACATGGCTGTCAGCATGCTCTCCATGTTTTATCTGTCTTTCCTGGAGCACTTAGTGTCTTCCCTGGGTGCCCTCCACTCCCGTCCTCAGAAACATCCCCAAAGAGGGTCTGACAAACCCTTAGAGAACATGAAAGTGTGCCTCTTCACAGATGAGAAAAATGAGGGTAAAGGAGAGTTAAGTCCAAATTCAGCAGTGAATCTGAGATGGCCAATCAGAACTCAGACTGGCCTGACATCACCACTGTTGCTAGGCAACACTGCCTCTTAGACTCAAGGTTTGGAGAAATTCTGAGAGACCACATTAACTGAGTTGCTCCTTTTTAGCTTTGTGTGAAGGGGAGGGAGAAAACACTTCATCATTGATACCTTCAGAGAGGAACTTTCATTTCCCAACTAGGGTGAGATGGGTGAGGTCTGCAGGAAGAGTCAAAGGATGGGCCTAACTAGGGCTCTTCCTGATCCTTCCATTTATGAAGTTCAGTTTTAATCAGCAGCCTTCTTAGCTTGACATTTTATATCTTTCCTGATCTGTGTCCAATCTGCTTTTTTGACCATCTTTTTCCTAAGAAACAATGATAATGAAACAGAGCTAAGCTGGGTGGGGGACAAGAGGAAGACCCAGTTGGTAGGTCCTCACTTGCATGCTTAAGATTGCAGGACACAACCCCAAAGCAGGTACAGTGTGAAATAACAATAACACCATTTATACAGGGGTGAGAAAAAGGAAGATGAGGGGGAAGAATATTCATAGGCTGGCACATGGCCATTTGTATCTGTACTGCCCCAGAGAATTTCTGCTGAACAGAGACCAAGACCAAGCCAAAGCCACATGTGGCAAGCTGGTGGCTTTTCCACAGACACCCTCCTCACCAGCAGCTTAATTGTCAGAAGCACAGCAGTTAACTACCTAGAGCGGGTAGTCAATCTGGTCAACAGTCCCAGCCATTTAACTGCTCAAAGCCCCAGTTCCAGCCTTATTTCCCATCAGCCCCTACTCAGCGGGAGTTTTGTAAAGTTCCACCTTCTACGGTCAAGTTGACCTCAGAGGATGGAGTCTAGAAAGCTCCACTTTCTACCATTGAGTTGGCTGTTAGCATCACTGGTGCCAACGTTATTCCTTACTGTTGCTCTTATAATAATAGCATATAGTGTTTGAGTAACAGTTTAGAATTTTCAAATGACTTTCACATATACTACTTAATGAACCTTCCTATGACTGTCTGAGGGAGGAAAGGTTGTCAGTAAAGGAAAACCCAGGGCCATGGCAGCCCATTGACTTTGCCCACAACTGGTATGGAGCCCTGTTGCCTCCATGTGGAAGCTGCCTCCCCAGCTCTGGTCTGGTGCCCTCGCAGCGCTGACCTCGTGCCTAGATCTTGGTTCTCTCACCCTGTTTCAGCATATCCACTAAGAGGATCTACCCTCTCTGCAAGGCTGGGCCAACCCTTCTCCCCTGACTCTTGCTTCAAGTTCCACTTTCTCCCAAAGTCTTCCCTGAAGACTCTGGCCTTTGCTCTTGGTCCTGGCAACTCCAGCCCATTCTGCTGTCCATTAAGATGAGCTGTGCTATAGTCCTGGCATGCCTCAGGGATCTTATGGGGTCTGTCCAGACCTCTGCAAGAAAGTGAATATCTTGGCAAAGTGAGTCACACAGAGTTTTTGGCTTCTGAGTGCATATATATGTATATCCCTTAATTAAAGGTGATATCGACACAGGAAGTGAGCACGTGCTATTGGAAAAAATAGCACTGATGGACTTGTGGGATGCAGTTGCTACAGATCTTTGGTTTGTAAAAAGCACAATATCTGCAAAGCACAATAAAGGGAAGCACAATAAACTGAGGCATGAGGGTCCTGAGTAACTTTTATGTGTTCATGTCTGTTTCCCTTGAGGATATGGACACAACATGCCTCAGTTTGCCTGCAGAGACTCACATGGCCCAGGCCACTGTCAGAAAGGTTGAGGCTAACACTTCCCCTAGGGATGTGACAGGGAACTTGAGCCCCTGCTCCCTCCCTGCCTCAAATGGGAAGTTCCTGCTCCTTGTCTTGAGGGAAACCACACCTGAGACTGGGATCTCAAATTTTATTAGTATTTTCTGTTAAAAGCACCTATTTCTACTAATACTTGGAGAATAATTATTTCTAGAAGGGCAGTGCAGGGGAGGGCTAGAGGAACATGTATGGCAAGGGGGGAAGTAAATTCATAAAGCTGCCCCCTGAGCTGTCAATAAGGCACATGGAAATCCTCCCCCTACCTGGAGGCCTGTGAGGATATTACACTATTGCTCAGCTGAAGGAAAGTTGATGAGTCACCCAGTCTTTAAAAAAAAAAAAAACAGGCTTCTATTAGCATTGGCATGCCATGGGTAAAACAGAATTGACAAAAAACTGTTAATTCAAAAGTTCTGAATCAAACCTTGAGCTAATTTATAGACTGAATTATGCCAAAGGAAGAGTCCTAGAGTTTATTACATTTGGAGAAGAGTATGCTTACAAACAATGGAGAGGACTTCATGAATTTTTCATATTATATCACTGTCAATCTGCTCATGTGCGCATTCCTTCATTTACTCATTCACTCAACAATGATATTTTTCTGTATTTCCTCTGCCAGGCACTGTTCAAAAGTTGGAGGAAAAACTTGCGGGAACATGATCCTTGTACATTAGCAACTCCTGTTCAAGTAGATTGTTCTTATGTGGTAAGCAGAAGAGGTTATTTCCATTTCACAAATGAAGGAACAAAATTTCAGAGAATCTTAGAGAATTTCCATTGTTACATCTCCAAAATATAACGAAGACTTTAAAATATTGATGGGAGAAGCCTTTCCTGTTCCCTCCAACCTGACTGCTGTCCCTAAAGATCTGTACTTTGTGATGTAAACAAGTAGCTCTGTACTTGACACCTCTGTTCTCTCTCCCCATCACAGTGGACCTTGAAGTGAGAAGAAATGAAGGGCTTGAATTCAGGTCTGCACTTGTTCAGAGTTCACAGTTATAAGGCCACACTCTATGGATCCCCCAATACTCCGGGGACAAGATGTTTAGCCTGAGAACAGTATGTCCCTCATCTACATAAATTAGTCATTGTCTATAAGGAAAAGGAGCACCTTTCTTGGTTCCAACAGGTAATCTTAAGGTCAAGAACATTCCTGAAGAACTTGGCAGAGATTCAACTCCAAAGTGCTGAGAAGCTCATTTTTGAGTTGCATGAAACTAAATTTATTCCTGCCTCATGCTTGCTTCATTGGCAAATCATTCCTCCCCACCCTCAGCTCCTTGATATGAAAGAAGCACCCCCAACTGACATGACTGACATAGAGGAACAAAAGGCCATCTCCTTCTATTGGTATTGTTTTCTATTCTGTGAATGACAATAGGCGAACTAACCCTTGAAAAGAGAAAAAGACACCAGTCCTCTCTGAGGGTGCTATCCCCAAACATAGGAAGAGATGGTGCTGTCACTTTATGGGGTAAATATATTTTAAAGTGGGTTTTGTCCATTTATCTTTCCACACCTTGACTCCAAGGAGCATGTGGGTAGTGACCTTGACCTGGCTGATTCCCTGCTGTATTTTCATACTCCTCGGGCAGGTTGGGGGAAGAAGGATAATATGAGGGAGATGATTGGAGGAAAAGGAGTTACTGCTGTAGCAGAGATGCCTTCTACAGAGCTATATGATGTGATAGTTTCAAGTGCACTGAGCCTGACTGATCTGTCCTTTTCTCCTCTTCAAGAATTCATGTATAAATATATTGGAGGCTCCAAATATATTGGAATATAAATATATTCATGTATAAATATATTGCCCATGTTTCTTCAAATCTCTTCTTTTGGGGGAATAAAGAGCAATAGACTCCTCTTGCCTCAATATTACTCACCATTGCTGATGGCATTTTGGGGAATAAATTGAAAACATTTTATTTCTTCTACACAGACACCAACACACACACACACACACACACACACACATTTTGGTTTAGAATTTTTTAAAGGAATTTCTTCCTTAAGGATGGACTTTCAATTTTTAAAAACCTCACCTGTCTATTAATTCTCCTCAAATACATTATTTTTAGAAAATGACAGGGCCAGAAATACAACGGTTTTTTTTTTTTTTTTTTTTTTAAATCTCAGCACAATGATGGGAATAAAACAAGCAATCAAACTACTGGCTGACTGAGGAACCCATTCTGGGGAAAACACCCTAAGCCCTGCACAATAGGGCGTTTCCAAAGAAGAGGAGACACAGCTGTAATGGGGGTGGAGACAGAGGATCAGTCCATCAACAGGCGAAGTGAGAGGTGGCAGCAGCCGCTGGGCACCATGTGCACTTTGGAACCAAGTAGAAGGCATTTCTAATGCTATCACTCATGTACACCAGAACTGTAACCTTGAGCTAGTTTCTTAAATTTTCTAAGCCTCTAGCTCCTCATCTGTAAAATGGGGTCCATATTACCATTTAGAACTGTTGTGAAAATTAAACATAAGTGTGTCCAGGGCTCTGCACAGTGTGTAGGTCCAGAGAACACTTAAGAGCAGAGTTCTTGTTATTCTGATCATTATCAGAGTAATACAGAGCCCTTACATGGTGGGGCTTTCTGGGAGGTTAGAAAGATCATTAACTTTGGATCCAGAAACCTGGGACCCTGCATTTAAAGTCTCCTTTCAGGGTAGCTGAGCCTGTTCTGGATTCAACAGCTGATTTCTCCCTCCCCAGTGCACTGAAATGGCAGTGGGATTGCACAACGTCTTGTCCCAATCAAACTCAAGATGTAAAACGTTGAAGTCTGATGAAGAGTGTCTCTGCTTAATTTATGGGTAGGCTCCCTTTATGGGCTTTTCTTAAAATGCTTGAGGCTGAGCTGGAGAAGAGCTAATAGGAACATTTTCTGAGAATAGATGTTCAGTGAACTCCACTAGAAGGGACTGACCATCTTTCTCTTTTGAAAAGCTTTTTGTAAAAAACTACAAGATGAGCCACAAAACAACTAGATCCATCACCTTGGCAGGATGATTTTCCAAGGGCCCTCGAGCACTAACTGTACCCCTAAATGGCAATCTCTACTTATCTGGGAGAAAGTCATAGAAAAAGAAGAGAAGCAAAATCACTTATCATAGTTTCAGTTTCTTGTTAAGTGAGTGTTGAACTCTCAAACAACTTTAGAAAAAAGGATAATGTAATATTTGAACGGACTCAGTGAGGACTTCCTTCCATTGTTTGTCAATATGCCTCTCGGTTTTACCCAAAACATATATACACTGAAATTAACTATTTCCAACTTCCTTCTTCTATGCAATATTATCTGTATGTTTTCATGAATTGACATAATTTACAGACTTAATATTTGTAATATTGCCCAACTATGGGTTTTCTACCTTTATATCATGAAATTAGAATAACAGGATGCTATAGCTAGAGAGATCTTAGAGCTAGATTATAATAGCTAATAAGAGACAAGTTTGATCAAACCCTTGTTACAAGCACTGTGTGCTAATGCTTGCTACATTTATTTTATTTAATCAGGCCTGCAATCCTATGAGGTAGGTTCTATTCATCGCTCCATTTTACAGATGAGGAAAGTGAGGCTAAAGAGTTTAATGTCTTGCTTGGAGTCTGCAGCTAATAAGGACTGAACTGAAAACACAGGCTGGGCCACCTGTAAATACTGTACTATAAGCTAGGTACCATGTAGCCCTTGTTTTTCAGAGGACCCTGCTCACCCAGAGGAGTAATGTGTGTTTGCTCAGGGCTATCCATTAGTTAATTGGTGCTCAGGGCTAAAACCCAGCTGTCTCGATTTCCAGGCTCCTGATCTGTCCACTCTATACTTCATGAGAGAGAAGTCCTGCATATTTTTGGAATCCTCCTTCTCTCCTTGTGTTTGCAAATGCACAGGCAGTACTTTCATTTAATGGAAAATGAATTTTTTTTTAATTTTTTAAATTTACTTATTATACAAGCACTGGGTACAGTCAGAAGCATGGGAGGGTGAGCCAGAGCGGGGAGCAGAATAGGCAGAAGGACTGAAGTACACTGCTGAGGGGAGCAGCGGGCGGCAGGAGAGGTCTGTGCGCCATGTGGAACCCTTGCCCGGCGGCCGGGGATCGAACCGGCGCTGCAGAGGCTGCGCGCAGCTTTGCAACCCAGTGCTCAACTGCTGCACCACCAGGGAGGTCCTGGAAAATGAAATTTTTATGGAAACTTGTAAATACGACACAGTTTCTGTTTTTCCAATTTTCCTCTTCTTGTCTCATTCTCTTGGGGCAATCTAAATTTTCAGAATTTTTAGATTCAGACAGTTCACTTCAGATAAGCCATCTCTCCCTAAGCACACCCTCCAAGAACTCTTGATTCCTCAAACAACAGCTCTGAGAGCACCAGATTCCTTGGGAATAGAGAATAGACTATTCCGGTTAAAGGCTTAACAGATGTTAAGACTTTGTTTCGTTAAAAATCAGAATAAAGCACACGTGTCCTGCCCATAATGGAACCTAAATGAAGGGAATGATCAGATAAGAAGTATAAGAGATTCAAATTAAATTTTATTTGGCTATTTTAAGCCTGTTTATTCAATTGGACATATAATCCCTGTAGATCCTTAGAGAAATGATCTCAATGTGTATTACACATACCCATAAAATATCTTACAAGGACTTATCAGATCAGGAGGTCTCTGTTTGGCTCCCAGGAGGAGAGAGATGGATGAAATCTGCTCCTCATGTTTGTCATTGTTTATTTACTTTCTGGATGAATGTATATTACAGGAAGACTCTAGAAGTGTTGTTAATTATACCTGTGATCTAATTTATTTCTTTGGGCACCTGATATGTTCTATACCTTAGATAATGTTAATTTTATTCTTTTGTGAGCTAAGCCTGGTGTTCATGCAAAGCAATAAGATATAATTTATTTCTCCCCACTTGCATTCTAAATATTAACTCTATTGAAAAATGATTGAATAGATTATGTAAATCATGGTCATTGCAACCACTTTAAAGGTTAATCCTGCCATCATGGAGCCAGATAATTAATTTGAATTTGTTCCCAAGCACTAATTCTCAGGGAAGCCAAGATGTAATGGGTTATGGTACCCTATTAGGGATGTCATTGTATGTCTGCCTCTGATAGAATTTGGAAGAAACAACTGTCATAGCTTTGAGAACAAAAGTTCCTCAGAGCCATTGAAGGACATAGTGCATTATGGGGTTAGAGGTACACATTCTCCAGAATTTTAGGACATAGCTTTTCCTTATACATCCTCCTTGTCCTTGAATTTTCTTGAGTGTCACATCCCTTCTTGAGAAGCCAGGCTTGGTTTGGTTTCAAAGATTCTGGAACTGCCCTCCTGCTTCAAACAGAAAATCTCACTCACCTGCAGATTACTGGCTGGAAGAGACCATTTCAGATGCTTTTACAGCTTCAACTATCCACTGCCATAGCCTATGCTTGTAAACATCCACAGATACTGACTGATTAGTCTCCTTCCCCCTCCACCATAGGAAATCAACTGACAGCCATGTTACTCTCTCCCTCTGGGTTAGTAAGAAATTCCTCATCACATGGTGATCCCAGGGAATTCTCCCCATGGTTGGAAAACCTTTGCTAATATCTCTTCTGAATTCCCTTAGTTGGGGTGGGGCCAGCTAATGTGGTGCTTGAAGCTTACTCAATCTTGTAGGCCTTCTTTAAGAGAAGAAATACAAAAAAACAAATTCAAAATGAGATACAAATATGAATATGTAGTTAGGATGTGAAAAGAAACCAAAATATTAACTCTAAATATTAACTCTATTGAAAAATGATTGAATAGATTATGTAAATCATGGTCATTGCATCCACTTTAAAGGTTAATCCTGCCATCATGGAGCCAGATAATTAATTTGAATTTGTTCCCAAGCACTAATTCTCAGGGAAGCCAAGATGTAATGGGTTATGCTACCCTATTATAACTT